GAAAAAACGAAGATTATTCAATAGATTTTGAACATGCGTATATGACTATATACGTTTAACACATTCTCATCTGTTGTGTACACCATTCTACATTACTCAGTGGCGTAGCTAAGGGGGTGTGGGGGGTGCGGACCGCATCGGGTGACACCATCTCAGGGTATGACACCAAATTGAAAAATTGCATATTTACAGAACACACTGTGTGCTGGGTGGCCGAGTGGTCTAAACTGAGCAAATCTCAAGTTGGTGGTCTGGAGTTCAATTCCAGCTAGAGCAAAAACACCACCAGCACCCCGGGTAGATGGGACTCGTTAATCTTGGACGGCAACTCATCTAAGAGAAGGAAACGCTGAAATCAAACCCGGAGATGGAGTCCCGAAAGGCGGATAACATTGATACAATGATTGATTTTGATCAAGTATTTGACAAGTTTGCAGCTTTGAAGACCGGGAAAGGAACATTTTAAAGTAAACTTAATTTTAAAAGAGCTGCCGTATAACTTATCGTTGTTACAGTTCTTAAATCAATTAACCTCCTGACCTTTAATTAATTTGTTTTTTGTTCTTCTCACTCCTTATTGCTATATTGTGGACTTATTTTAACAAGAAGAAATCCCTCGTGGAAGTCGGGGAGAGGGGGTGACACCATGAGTTTACCGCACCGGGTGACACCAATCCTAGCTACGCCACTGACTTTACTACTGTCAGAGGCGTAGAAAGAATGTGCGGCAGCAGCACTTTTTCTCTTCATGTGTAGGGGCAAACGAGTTTTTCGTGGAAAAGGGCGGGAAAATTCTCGGGCCGCCTCGAGTGGCTATAAAACTAACTACGCCACTGACTACTGCACAACACAATGACAGGGGTCCACGGGAAGATGCGTTATGGGTTATTTTTAAAATGTTTATTCTGCATGCATTGTAGGTTTCGATAATTAGGGGTTAAAAGTTCAGGGACCACTCTGGCCCTAAGCGTCACAAACTCTAGCTACTCTACTGTCAAGATCTATTGCCACGACTGTGTAGACACGACGGCTCACGCCAGATAGCTGACGCCAGTCTTTATCGTGACGACTGCAGGATTTCTTTTCTTTTTCCAAATGTCTCATGTCCCTGTAACTGAAATTTCATAATTATTGCTGAAATTGAGTATTTTATTGGGTCTAGCACCGACAGAATAATCCTGTAAAATCTTTTATGCAATATATAAATCAAAGGGGATGAACTCTGACAATTTTATGAAGCAAGTTTTAATAAATATGTTATACCTCTTGTTTGGCCTATGCAGCTACAGATTATTTGTGGATAGGAGATAAATCGCATTAAACAAATGAAAATATTTTTTAAGCTATCATATTTTATAAAATAATATACTATTTTGAAAATAGAAGAGCACTATAAAAATTTGTATTTTTAGAATTCTGAATATATTACTCTTAACCAGAAAATTCCCTATTCTACGAAAACCTCCCACAAGATTTTTCCGTAAAACATAGACATAAAACATATGTTTAAAATTTCATAGACCGCGATTTACTTATTTTCGTACAAATCTGCCCCCCCCCCCAAAAAAAAATAAATAAAAAAATAAAGAAAATAAATCTGTCAGTTTTACTCCCTTACGCACTTGCAGCGATTTTCGCATGTGGAATAATTGTGTGTTTTTACTTATTTTCGTACAAATCTGCCCCCCCCCCCCAAAAAAAAATAAATAAAAAAATAAAGAAAATAAATCTGTCAGTTTTACTCCCTTACGCACTTGCAGCGATTTTCGCATGTGGAATAATTGTGTGTAATTTATGTGATGAATCTTGCTTTTTAACGTATATTTCCTTTCATTGATTTTGAGAAAAAAGAAACCTATATTGATATACAGGCCCTAACTGTAAGATAAGATAAGATAATGATGATGCTTTAACTTTATTTATCAACCTTTTAAATTGATTATAGATGATTTTTTTAAAGCGTTGATTTAATTTAATTAAAAAAATTATATTCAACACATAGCTCACATTCACATAGGCCTACAAATTGATAAAGATACAAACTATTTATGAAAGTAACGGTAACCAGTACAGTTACGATTTTAATAAAATTCAAAATACAATTAAATTATGTTTCGACTATAAGTAGGCCTACAAGCCTTCATCAGTTAGACACACAGTAAATGAATTTAACATTAAATGTGGCATATTAATAATATTATTTTACTATGCATTGTTTAAATATTAAATCTACTACAAGTTGCCTTATACTTAGTATCGCTCTGTTATTAAGAGAAATTGTAGTATCGGATTTTACAAAAAGCAACAATTTATAAATCAATTTTAAAATGGTAATCGGTAAAAATATCGTATACAGGTTGTCATTCATGTAAATTGTGTGCACAATGGCGTTGAAATTGTCCATACAATTGAAGTTCGTAGTAAAATATGAGATTACCAGTAATTGTGCTTGGTGAGGCTAATGGCACTACACACGACACTCAATTAATTATCAAGTTTCAAAGATGGTTATAAACCCGTTCCTTGCCTTATCCGTGTAAACCCTTCACGAGACTGTCTGGTAAATGCATGATTATGATTGGCCAACATATGTAATTAGTTAACTTTGATTGACCAATCAAATCCTCGCGAGTTGATCGACACGCCAATCGCCATACACAGCTGTGCTAGCGGCGATCCAACTACAGCGCGGTGTGTCGCCATTGTGCTTGTGATTATCTTTTACATGTCGTTGTATTTGAAGCTGATATTCGTCATCAACTCCTATGTAATTCATGTTATTTCATCGTCCTCGTGATAGAAGGATTGCTATACCGTTGACTAATCAGTATAGTTCTGCTCTGGTACGTTTGTTTTGCTGTCATGTTTACATCATTAGCACGGTTACTCGCCGATTGAGCACACGCACTCTTCGAGTGTTGAGGTTGGAGCTTGGCGAGAGGCTTGTAGTGCGCAGCGAGACGAAGGGGAATTTTGAATAATTATTTTTCAGTTTGCTTACCCAACATATGTTGGGTAGATGGTCCTCTTTTATGTAATCATTAAATAGCATCTCCTATTTTGAAGTTTGATTTTGATGTATCATATCCTTTAAATCTGGTTGCAAGCACAGGATTTCGTCAGAGTAAATATCTCACAAGGTTTGTTGTGTGTGGCAGTGACCTAGTTTCCTTGAAACACACAAAGAGATAGAGAGAGAAGAGAATTAGAGAGCCGCCCTTCCCTAGGCTACTAGTTCAACATGGGCTTAAGTCTCAAGGTTAAAGTCTGAATGAGTGTATCATACCATAATAAAAATGCAATTTAAACTAAAAAGCAAAATGTCTCTGCTAGGGTAATATTGTTAACTATTCAAGAAAGAGACTAAAGGCTTGCTGGATTCAAGATTGTATAGTATAGTATAGCTGAATCTAATGATTTATCTCAGTATCAGCAAGAAGAGTAACATTTCTTATCCAGTCATCAGTCTGCAGAGTGCATTAGAAGTTGGATATACAAACTGACATGAAAGGTATTCCAAAGTATGAAGGGGTGGGTGACTCTCACACTGGTGACATCAATAAAAACTGCTACATCAAAATTACATAATGACAATGTATTTCCTGGGGGGAAAAATCCTTTAAAGTAACTCAGTAACTGCATTGGGTATTGGGCCAATGATTGACCAATTCATTCATAAACTATTAAATTTCATTCATAAACTATTGAATTTGAATAACCCAAGTTATAGGCATAGTAATGTTAAGAATAATATGACTTCTAGCCTGGGACCTAAATAAATAAATACTGAAATAAATACTAAATAAGTACTGAATGCTTATACTTATGCCCTAAAAAAGAAACTCTTAGCCAAGACTTAGCATAAGGCTCATACTCATAAGGGCAAAGATAGTCATAATCTTACTTGGTTACTGAGAAAGTTCTTATTCTTATAACTTTTGTATTACTTTTTTAATAGGAGACATTTGATTGAGGGCCTATTATTAATAATGACAAAAATATGACTATTAGTTTCTCCGTGGATCTATGGCTGTAACTATAATTTGATTTTTAATAAATGTCAATAAAATTTTAAAAATTCAAAAGTAGTGTCTAAACATGTCAGGTCCTAATGAATTGAGTAGGCTATTGTTCTTTTTTCTTCTAATCTATAAAATGTTATTTGCAGGAAATTTGTGATTAAAAAAACATAATTCTCAAATTTTATATTTTTAGATTGAACAGCTCATTTGTAACCCCCCCCGACAGTGAATTCAATGAAATCTTAGACAGAATTTGGGATTGCTTATATTTTTTTAATAGGCATCATATTTTGAAACACTAGTAACACTGTAAGTTAGCCTAGGGAACAAATGATTAATTTATTTATCTGGATTCACCAGTCTCATTGAATAGATTAACACAATTATTTTGTCCTGTTTTAAGGTTTTCATCTCACGTGAAAATGCCTGGGTAATGAATATTAAATACATTTTCTTTATTAGATGGAAAAAAAAATTAACTCAGTAAAATTCATAAAATGTTAAAAACACACACATACATTAAAGCCGATCCATTTTTTAGTTAATATATTTATCGTATATGATTCTATTGGTTAAATATAAGTTTCCGTTATTGAGTTAAGCCAGTGTAATTTTGTAATTGTATTAATTCAATATGGCATTTTACTTAAAATTTGTATAACAATATTACAACATGAGAATTCTGAATATTTCTGCTCTTTATCTGTTATTCTTGCACCTGTGATTGTTACGCATCTTCATTACTTACTAAGTCTCTGTCAGTGGATTTTTAAAAACATTGGTTGCAATGTGAATTTGGTTATATTTAGGAGGTATTATTATTATGGTTTAAAGTAAATATTCATATTAACATGAGAGATTCCTAAGTTATTATTTCATGCTCAATATGTGTCTTTTTCAGTATGAGAAAGAAAATCAACACAGGTCTTATCGCCACCAATGGTGATGGAAAACCCAGTGTTCTTCCGCCAATACCAGCTGGCTGGTGCCGCCCAGGTTTTATTCCTTCAGCTGAAAATGACCTAGGTCTAAAAGTCAAAACTGGAAATTCTAATTCTCATCTGAACATGTCCTCAGAGATCAATGGTAGAAGTCAACTTGCTCATGAAGGGGACAGTGGCCGGCACCAGAGTGATGGTACTTCTGCTATCTCTAATGATGCTGAAGTTTCCACTAATAATAATAATCACTTAGATAATCTTAATAATGATGCTGATGATAACAGTGTTGAGCCTTGTGGTGAATCTCAGAATGCATCTTCCCCTGGTAATGACAACAACCCACAGTCCTTACCCAATATTATTAACCCTAACACAGCCATGAGTGAGGATAGTAATGTAGATGTAGAGACAGAGGAGCAAAGCACTCCGATGATAAGCAATGATCTTGAGCCAGGAGAAATGGTCTCAAATGAAGTGGTGGTTTCGGATAGTGCTGGTTCATTGAGACATTCTCATGAGGAAGAATTGGCAATGTCTGATGCTCATTACATTGAAAAACAGGTGGTAGAATCTTTTCTCAGTGGAGGTTCAAGCGAAATTACCAATAGTAGACTTATTCAGGATAGAATGCCTGTGGATAGAATGTCTATTTCCGAGAAAAGGCCAGCAGCAAATGGAAACAATAATTATGAGAAAGCCATGGCTGCCTCTGGAAGTAGCAGTGTGGTCTCAAACAATGCCCTTAATAGTAAAGCTACTAAATCCCTTGATGCTATTTCATTGACTATTGCTAGTGTAGCAGCTGGTGAAGGGGGGCCGCCAGAGTTTCTGACAAGACACCCGCCAGACAAGCTTCGAGACGATCGCTCATTTCAACAAACTTCTTCTGCTAATCCTAATAAAAACAGTGAGTGTTTGCTAATTAGTCAGCAAATACAGCTTATCTTTGTTCTTATATCAAGCTCCATTCTGCACTATTGTGTTTTCAGATTCCCAGATCAAGTTGTAGCTTGCATCACAGCAACTCTGTTTAGTTTGTGGTTTGGTGTTGTTTTGAAAAAATCCAAACTAACATTTTTGTATCTTTGTAGTTGAATTTGGTGGTAGAAAATAGCTGTTGTTTAAAAAAAAAAAAAAAAAAGTTCTACCCATTACTTGCTGTTTTTAACTAACTTACTGTAATAATATTGGCTTTGTAATTTCCTTAGTTAAGTTTAAGCCATTTCTAACATTAAATTTCCACTTGCTATTGTTATTTCCTGTTTATATTATAGTTAATTCTACATGTTTTGTGCTCTAACTTTCCTTTGTCAAACTGCTCTGCATAGTGACGTTTAAATATACTTATTCTAACTTCAGGTTTATCTTGATTATTTATTTTAGTCTTATTCTGGGGTATATTTAATAACAATTATTTATAATATATTTAACACCAGCTAATATATATATGAAGTAAAAGTTTGATAACTCATTATTACACTTAGTTTTATACACTAATTGGGAAAAACCTACTAAACATGTGCTATCTGAATCTGCAGTAGATCTGTTTTTTTTTAAAAAATAATTTTTTATATATATTGTCTGATTATTAAATCTTGTGTTGCATGAACTATTTTTCAAATGATTTTTGTTTTCCTTCATAGAGAATTCCATAACCTATTCTGTTTCTTTCATGTGATTAAAAATTAAATGATATAGATACTGTTGATGTGACAACACATTTTCAACTGCCAATTTTATCTTTATAAGATATAACATGGTTTTAAAAATCCTTTAGCAACAGGGTAGCTGTTAGTAAAGCATTATGGCAAAGTGAAAGCTAAATATTTTGTGCACATTTTCTTTTATCTCACGAAGCCATGTCCTTTTTTTAAAGTATATTTGGAGAAAATTATTTTAGTTTTCCAAAACTTGTAACCACTTGTAAAAGATTAATGTTATCTCCTGTCTGTAAACACTGCATATCTGTGGTCTAGAAATATATGATTTTGACGTACCTCTAATATTACAAGCAGTTTTAAACACAACTCATTAAACTGTCTAATTTAATTCAGTGTTGCAATTTCCTTAAAACCAAAACAATTTTTTGAATAAAAAAATTATGTTGTTCATAACTTAAAATAGTAGCATAGGTAATCTACCATTTTAATTTTAATGACATTAAATTAAGACATGCTCACTCAGTATTTTGAAAATAAAATTTAAAGGAACATTATATTAACAATAACTTTTCCACCATAAGTATATATAGTTCGTGCCTCATCTAACTTGGTTTTATGATAGAATAATAATTGATTATATGTTTATGGTTGCTCACTTTGTTATTGCAGAGAAGGGCAGGACAGAAAAGAACATGTCCGCAAGTGCCCGATTACCTGTCATCAGCTCATTGTTGGCACCCTCGAGCTCTTCTTCTCACAGTGCAGTAAGTACAGTAAAAAAAAACATACTTAAAGATTTTACTTTTCTCTATGAACCCCTGATAACTTAACAGAGATTCAATTACAAATAAATATCACTTAATTATTTCTATTTTTAAAAAAAAATTAAGAACATTGATCAATATTGACATAAAAAAATTAAATTATTTCATCAAAATTTGCTAACATCAGTAACTTTAACTTCCTCTGTTAACAAATAACTGAAAAAGGAAATTTATCCAACAGCTACCTGGCATACAGCATATAGCGTCCTCTGGAAAAACTAGCTGCTCACCCACAACAGCGCTCCCTTCAGTAGCTCACTTTTTAGGACCTGCTAAATCACCCCCCTTGGCGTATACCCCTCATCACACCGGTGTCGACATGTATGGAACTAGTTTACCATCGACAAATTCTGAAAACACTGGTAACATTGGCCGTTTTGTTGTTTTCGTTCACGTTTTATCTCATGCAGAGGAGTTGGGTTTTCAAGACATAGGATTAGAATTGTATTTAAACAATTAAATAGTCAGCTTTCACATCAACAAGAAGGATAGTTATTTCACATATTTATGATTATTACTTATTAAATATATTAATTTAGTGTTTGCTGAATAAAATCTGATCCAGAAAAAAATGGCATTATGAAAAATATTGCATTTGATATTCTGACTTCAACTGCATCTTCCATTTATATTAACCCTTTCTCTAATGAAGAACATATGAGAATGTTTTTCAAAGTCAATCTTGAGGCTAATTATAAAATATTTGTGAAAACCAGTTTCTTTAGGGTGAATTTTAACTCACGTGTTAAATTAGTTTATGAAAATTGGAAAAAACCCCCAATAAACTACAGTTGTATCATGTATATACCTGGTTTTCAAAATATGCATCAGTTTCCAGATCGCTGAGGGTATTCTTTGGGGGGTTGATGGGGGTGGACCAAACAGTCAATTAGTAATAATTGTGTCATAATAATTTTAATATTTTCTTACTTATTTTACCGAATGATATTTTGTGATGTATTGAGGTGATGCGTCACGTTGGTCCCATGATGTTAGGTTTTGACTCAACAAGGTTATGAAACTGCGATGTAATTATACACTTTAAAAAATTATGAATAATAGAATAATTGTTGATTTATTTTCTGTCCAAAAACCAGAACATTTTACAGGCCACCAGAATGCACAGTATCATCAAGCAGCAACGGGTGGCCATATCACTCCGAATACCCCTACTTCTTCATCCTTATCAAAATCTAAGAACAGTCGCAAACCAGTTACGCCTGCTGGTTTGCGATTGAGCATGGCCGCTTCCGAGGAGCTTCCTGATCCACTGCCAATGCCTCAGTATTCAGAAAAAGTAAGACAGTTTCAAGAATATAAACGGCTTAGCAATTAATCATTATTCCTCTCTTTTTATGTAGTTCAATACTTTCTTTCAGATGTTTTAACAATAGACAAATTGAAAACATGTTGCAGGAAAAAAAGAAAAGTATATTGTTATTTATATTATCTACTTTGGTATGTAAATGATGTGGAGAAGTGGCATGATATGAAGTTTAGTGATCTGTCGCACTTAGTCATTTATAAAAAAAAAAAATCTGGAATGCTAAATTAAAATTATTTTGTTGATTATCAAGAAAATAATGTTAATTGATGAAAATAAGCACCTTGAAAAAAATCTCCACAGGTTTTAAGAGCCAAGCAGTTAGGCACTGTTGCCTTTGACAGACCAACAGTTCTGCGTGAGACTGTTCAATTTTTCCTTCAGTACAAGCACTACTGGAGCAGTCATGACTATGACAGAATTTCCAACTTGGTGATTGAACTTTTCCCCGAGTTTAAAGACAACAATGATACACCTGGTGTACCGGCCAATGTAAGCTCTCAATGCAACTGCTTGGTTCTTTAAATTAAATGTTTAAATTTTATTTCATAAGTGCAAGATGCCTCATTGTGGATTAAAAAAATGTAGAGTGATGTTTTGAATAATTTTGTTAATCATAGTTTCTATAAATCATATATATAACATTTCCCATTTTCTAAAAAGCAAAATACAAAGTCCTTAGCTTTTGTGGTGGGTTTAAAAACATCAACAAAATAAAGTTATAATTTTCAAGTGAGTTTATCTAAACAAATGTTGATTTGTACTAAATAATTACTTGACCACATTAAACGTGTTGATAATTTTGAGGTATCTAACATTTATGGTTCACTTTTGATTTTCCCAGAAACGAATCAGGACAGATTTATCCATGTATGCTAGGAACTTCAGAAGGCGAGAAGTTTCACAACGTAAAAAAGAGGGCTCCAGCACTCCATCACATTCAGATAATAAACAAGATTCTGTGTCCACCCCTGAAACCCCTGTAAAGTCATTTCTACATGCCCCCTCTCCCTCTAGTAGCAGTGGAGGACCTAGTACTGTGGGCAACAACCCATCAGATTTCTGCAATGAGCTGCTTACCGCTGCTAGCATAATTGAGAGCCAGAACACTTCTGCTGCTAGAAATGGTGACTGTAAGTTGGCCATTTCTTTATTTTTTAGAAACTTTACAATGAAGAGGAATTGGTCTTCCTTTTTATTTTTCTACAATTTGTATTAGTTTGAACTCTCAGAATGCACATTTTCCAATAATTTTTCGGACAGTTTTAAGACACATCATTACAATGATGTTTATTAGACCCTATCTCAGTCACAAATTATATTGTGATGGTTTCAAAGTTTGTTTGAACTTTGAAAGAGAAAAAAAAACAACACTTAGCTTTTAAAAAGTTAAAAAAAAAATGTTTTTCATTAGGAAGTTATAACATTATTAGATACAATTTTTATATAGTAAATACATATGGAAACCTCAGATATCCACATGATTGTCATTTATGCTTACTACACTGAATATGTCTCTATGTCCTTTTTACTTTAAATTATGTTATAAGATGTGGCATTGTACATTTTTTCCATCTGGTTTTGTTATTAATACACCAGTAGTGAAGAATGCATAATTATTTTGATAGCTTCTTAATGGTTATTTTGATTGATTTTGTTTCTTCAGATTCTTCTCAGATCTCTCATAATCACCATAAAGTAAAGATAAGTGAACCAGGGCAGGACCAGAGTGTGGTCATCCATAAACAGGAAGTCTTGGAGGAAGAAGAGACGGGTGGTGGTATTGTCAGCAATCACCACCATCGCTCACAGAATGAGCCAATGGATGACGAGGAGGATGACACACCCATCCATTTTGTCTATGACAAGGACATGGCATCTGTGTCTAGGGATGCCAATACAGCTTGGCAGGTGAGAAGGCTAATATCACAAATAGGCTATTATTTTCAAGATATGTTTCTCATTTGACAAACTAATTTTTTCTATTAATGTTGATAAAAATTTTTAATAACTTGTTACACAAAAGCAAAACAGTAAGCCCCCCCTCTCTCTAATAAACCTATTTAAATAATATTTGATAAGATTCTTTTATTGATCCAGATAGATTGAAATGTAATTTTATTACCTTGTATCTATTGATTTTAAAGATATGGATCAACATTCTGATGTAGATAGATAACAATTTTTAAACAAACATTCTTTAAAAGTAAGACATTTAAAGTATTTCTCAATCTGAATGTCCTTAATGACCATGTTGGTTTTAAGAGTAATTACTTGAGTTTAAAACAGCTGGGGCAGCATGCTGGTAGATTCTTAAGGATCAATGATTAAAGAACAAATGAATTTCTATAATATTAAATTAACTTCTTGTTGTTTTTTTAAATACAGGTAATAATGAGTTTTATTGATTGAGTTTTGAACAGTATTTGACCAGTTCATCTAAATCTTAGTGTCAATTCATGTGCTCAAGATAGTTTTCCTTCTTTTCCTATTGTACAGATGTATTCTGACCAAATGGTGCAGGCAATGGCTGCAGAAAACTCTAGATTAGATTATGGTTTATCATCAGAGGTAAGCTACCACATGTTACTCATTTCATTTACTATTTGTTTTTTCTGTGGGTAAGTTTTAGTGCACCCTATTATTTCACAATAATGGTTTTTAAAATGTTTGGAAAATTCTATTTCCCATTTGGGACAGCAAATGTTACAACTGGCTTTAATTCTGCAACAAAAAAAAATTCTTATTCAGAGAGACTTGTCCTCCTTGAAGTAGCATTGCCCCAGCTTTTACTAATCAAATGGCACTTTTGAAATAACCTTTCACCATGTATAATAGATGACTTGTAGACTCCCTAGTTTCACTATCACAATTTGATGTTAATACAAATAACTCACAATCTCAAACATAGCTACTTCATAATAATTTCTTAAATGTATTTTCCAAATTTATATTTTTTAAATAATTTTTTTTGCATTTTGCTTCTTATAACGCACTTATTTTTTGCTTGCCAGGTGCCATTTTTTCCCTCACTTTTTCTTAACCCATGTATCTTTTTAGCCCTGTTTCTCATAAAGCCAGCTCGAGTTTGAAAGTGTCTGGTGACATAGGCTTAACAGTGGGAATATATTTATGCACCCTGTCAGAAGTGTAGCATTAAAAATCTTAGGATCTCTTTACCAACTTGGGAGTCTTCACTTGTCAACCCTCTGAACGAATATTTTTTTAAAACAATAAGTTGCTGAATTAATTTTTTTTTTCATTTTAAAGCACACAATATAGTTTTCTTATATATTTTTTAAACATCCTACATTTTCAGTTTGCCTCAGTTTACCTTTTGCTTGCAGGCAACACTATGAGCTTGAGAAATTTATTAAAATTATTAGTTTCTAAAGCTAATGTTTCAAGTTAATAGTACATTTAAAAATATCTTTTAACCATTTTATTCACTAGCTCAGTTGTTATTTTTGGGATAAAATTAACCTTTCTTAATACATAGAAAAGTGGTGAATCCAATAAGTTTGCTGAGTTGGTTTCCTGTCTTCATTCCAGTGTCATTTTGGCATGTGGCTGTTTTAGCCAGTGATTTGGGTTTATCATTCCTTGACTGTAGATATATTTCTTCTGACACTTGTCAATTTTTTCCAACTAACTAATCTCATGACCCCAGCAATAAATTTAAAAAAAAAAAAAAAAAGTTCAAACTGGCCCACCCATTCTCACCTTGTTGATAGTAATCCATTATTTCCCCAAGTTGTTATGCTGTTTTGCGAAGTTTCAGTAGGAATATTATCTCTTCTTTATTTTTGATAGATAAGCTGTTGTTTTTTGCCCACCTCTCATTTGATGGAAAAAGATCAGCTACTATTTCTCTTGTTGAATTGTTTAATTTTTGTATCATCTTTTTAAAAACAAAAATCCTCATAGAGAACCCAACATCACTTTTAAAAAAAAATCAAATTTGATGTTTTAAAAATCAAGTTTGATGTTTTTTATGTGATTAGGTTTGGAGAGGGGCGGAACTTTGAAAACCTTAATTCCTCTTTCATTCACTTCATTGCATTCTTTAGTTAAAATGTTAATGTTTTGTGAACTCCTTCAGACTAATATTGTTATTTTATATGGAGGGAGAATTAGGATTCAGCTTTCTTGTTTTGCACATTCTTTTACATTATTCTTCAAGATATTCAATATTTGCTCTAAAGTTGAGAATAGTATTGAAATATGAAGCTTGCTGTGGGCTTCAGAGGAGGATGATTCGTGGCTCATCCATTTCAGGAGGTGTCTGCTGCCCAGTCCAGCACTGACAGACTGTCTGCTATGGCCATGTGGCGGTCCACTGCCCTCCCTGACCCCCTTCCCACCCCTCCTTATTCAGACAGCGTCATTCGTGCCAGGGAGTCTGGCAACACTATGTCGGCAAGGCCAAAAATCATCCGTGAGACGACACAATTTTTCCTGGCCCTTAAACTCTGGTGGACTGCTCCTGACTATGAGCGCATCGCTGAGCTCGTCCTCCAGAATTTCCCAGCGCTCGTTAGTCTAGTAAGCCTAGATGTGTAGGATCATGTGTCATAGATGTGTACTCCCTTTCCTCCATTCTCGTTTGTAAATCAGAACATGTGTAGTCTATTTGTCGGGTGTTATATTGTCTGTGGCACCAATAGGTTAAGTAGGTAAAAACTTGAGGTTCGCTTTGCCCATCAGAGGATTTTATTGTACTTTTTGTAATCTGTAGTTTTATTGAATTATTTATTTTAAAGTAGACTCTTCTTTTTTGTTGTTTTGTTAAAAGGTATAGAATAAGTTTTGCATAAAAAACTTTGCAATAATACTTTTTCTTATTTTAAAAAAATGCTTTGTATTTCTGAAAAAAATGCTCAATTAAAAATAAAGTAAATTGATGAAATTTAAATTTATAATTATGAAAGGTTGGCAGTGATTTTAAATGAAACATTGTTTAATCATTAAAAAAATTATTATAAAAAGGAGATAGTGAAGCAAATGAAAAAGAGAAAAATTTAATGGATAGATTTATAATTGAACAATGTTGTTAATTTTAGCTTTACATAATAGTGAGAGGAAGGCTTCATCAGAATTATCTATCCTACATATTAGGTTTTAAACAAGCATGTATTCAAGGTGCCTTGAATATTTATTCAATTTATTGTTAACACTATTGTATTTTGTCTTGTCTCTTATCAAGTTCACGTTTTACCTTCATGTTCTCTCCACCACAAGCTGTACAATCCTTGATGTGCTTGCTTCGCTTACAATTATTTATCAAATTTTCTTCCTTTTTTTCTTTTTTGCCTTGTTGACAGGATATAGAATTAATTTAAAAAAAATGAAAAGCAAAATTACTTACTTTAAAAAACCACCACCATTTACTCAGTAGTACTTTGTTTAACTGTTCCCAGTGTTGTTGGAATAAAAAAAATGCCTAGAGCGTCAGTTGTTTAAGTTAAGAATGTTGCCAAGTTGTTTAAGTTAAGAATGTTGCCACTTTTACTGTCAGTGAGCATGGCAATGCACATTCTTCTGTTGTGTTATAAATGACATAAAGTACCTTCTACTTATTTTTGAAACCTATCCAAAGTCACGGAGTTCCAGAGAGACCTAAACATTGGTTTATACCTATCTCATATTTAACTTTTAAAATTAACCAAGATATGTTAGAAATGTTAGAAAATAGACTTGAGTGCTTCAATGACATTAAGCATTCAAAGTGTTTGAAATTAATATAAATAAATACTCGGGTGGAAATAGATTATGTATGCTAAGGTATACAGGCTAATGTAATTTGTATACAATCAACTTATTTTTTAAATAGAGCTTACCTGTTGTCAAAATTTATTCACTGAATTTTTGATAACATATTAATTTCCATTTAAACACATTTTTTACAGTTACCAAAATTTTAGAGGCATGCAATGTGCTTATTGTTAGTAATATGGTCTCCTGAAATGTAATAATTATTGAGATCATTGTAATTTGTATTAAATGTTATAAGTTGGAACTTAGTATCTTTTTAAATTTGATTGCTAAAGGTAAATATTGAAATAGGTTCAGTCATAGCCTACTGTCTTTTGTATTATTATATTCTTTTCATCATTTCACCCTATGACCACAAGGGAACTTCATGATGACAAACTAAAACTTTTATTCCACCAAGACAACATTACATGAAAATTCTGTAACATTAGCTGCACCATTGCTATTATTTTGGAATGAACATGTGTTGCAGGTTTTGAGTTAAAGGTTTTTAAAATTTTATCCCCCTTTTTTCTAGCAAGCGGTGAAGAAGGACTTGGGCACTTGTGCAAGGAACATGAGGCGGCGTTTGCCAGCAACCAAGTACAGACCAACGAGTTCACAAAAGGCTTGGAGCAATTCCCAGACTGGGCTGGAATCTCAGGTCACGGATATGACTGGCCAGGCGGCCACCATGCTTCCTGGGACCACTGAATACATGAAGGCGATATTAGCGGCCCAGAACATGAACCTCAGTGAGCTTGGAATGACACAGAGAAATCTTGGAGAGCTTGCCATGCTGGCAGGGATCAAACAACGGATTGAGCAGCATCCCCAGGACGTGACAGATTTAGAGAAGCAGTACCTCGCCCAGTACTCCAGTGAGGAGCAGCGGCAAGCACTAATGGCTTCGGGAGCTTTTGGAAATGACACCGCTGCCATGGCAGCACTCAGTGCTTTCTATAGTCAGCTGAGTATGGACATCTCCGGGAGTGGAAAGAGAGGCCTTGCGCCTGATTATTCTTCTAGCTCTGCTCACGACAGCTCGACAAATCTTGCATCTGGGGAACTGCTGGAAGTGCCTAATAAACGTCAGAGGCGAATATCCCAGGCTGAAGTTGAGAAAAGATTGAGAGAGGCTGAGCTCAGTCATGGTGGTTCACATGAAAGCAGTAAATCTCATGGATTATCTGTGGGTGTGTCCGATAAAAACCTAGTTAAAAGAGAGCCAATGTCTCCACCTGGAGGAGAAGGTCAAAAAAGTTCATCCAGCAGCCGTCAGCCACATCAGAATGCCTTGAGCATGCCTGTGTTTCCTTCAACAAGCGTCAATTCCACCCATGAGCAGGCATATTGGGATGCGCAGGCATCTGCTAACATGGCTCTCATGGGTGCGGCTTCTCTTGCTCACTCTGCATCACATCAAACGGCCACCCAGGCACATTCTCAGGCTGAGATCCACCACCTTCCTGGCCATGACCATTCATCCAATTTGGCATCAAGTGAGGCTCCCATGAATCTGACCTACCATGAGTCCGAGAAACATATCTCTCACAGACAACATCTGAGCTCAGATTCACCTCTGCATGACTCCCTCCCTGATACTGCTGGCCTGGCCGCTCAAGTGGAAGTAACTACCTCATCTATCAAATCACACTTTCCTCGACGACGTGCCTCTTCTTCACCCCGTTCATCCCAGCAGGGAGACCAGAACAGCTCCCGCGATCAGGTAAGACCAGAGGTGAGATGAAATCGATTTTTTTCTTTTCTTAGTTTTTTAAGTTTGTTATTTTATTTTATATTTCAATTTATTCAGTCATCTGACGATGAAATAATGTACATTTCTTTTGTAAACAGAGTGATCTTTAGTTAAATCATTATGTTTAAGGCATGCTGATAAATCCATAGAAGGAACAACAGTATAAATACCTGTGGAATTAAAGATTTAAAGAAAAAAAAATTGTTTAAAATTGTTTATGATGTTGATTTATTAATCAGATTCTGTAAAAAGAAAAATCAAGTTTAGTTTATCAACACTTTTTTATAAGCATACCTTAATCAATTCAAATAAAGAATTTTTAATGTTGGTCGATTTCGAAAAAGTATTTTTTAAGTTAAAACAGCGTTTTTCAGCTTACTCCAAAAATCTTAATTTTTACCTTACCAAGGTTTGGTTTCCCCATGGAGCTGGGTTCAAAAAGGAAAATCAAGAAATTGTCTGCCTACCAGATCCACTCCCAATTCCTTCTTACTCTCAGAAGATAATCACTGCTAGGGAGGATGGCTCCTCCATGAGGCACAGGTCTGAAATCATTCGTGAAACTGCACGCTTCTTTCTTGGCCTCAAGTATTGGTGGTCCAGTGCTGACTACACAAGGATATCTGAACTTGTAGTGCAGCAGTTTCCAGACCTGAAAGATGACACTACAGCTGATGGCTTAACCAATTATGTGAGTAGATCATTTCCAAAAAGAAGTTTTAAATTCATCAATTTACATACAAGGGATTTATTAAATATTTCTGTATTTAGTGACAGACTCTAAAAGTTATTTATTTATGTCATAGCTTTAAAATGATAAATTGTTATTATAATTCAAGATCACTTCAAAAAAATTAATGAGTTAAATACACATTTCAGCGTCGCATTCAAAGAGACTTGTCTATGTGTGCAAGAAATTTACGTAGGAGTAAAAAACCAAGGAAGATGAGAGAATTGTCCACTGATCCTTCCAATTCATTGCTAGATGTCCCTGAAGCCCCACGCTCAGTAAAAAAGCAGTCCAAGTCCTCCAAGGTCAGCTCCATGTTTTCATCTAACAATGACAAAAAATCCAAGCGACCGCCTGGCTCTTCTGGCAAGGCCAAGAAAGTAAAGCAAGAGGTGACGGCCGTGCTGTCGGAACCTTCTGCTTCGAGCGGTCTCAACGAAGACATGACGGCTGCCGCAGCCCTGCTCCAGCAGCAGTTTATGCAGTCCTCTTCTTCTTCGTACCATCCCAGCGCTCATCTTCTGCCCTCATCCCACTTATTGCCGTCATTGCAGACACACCCGGCATTGCATGAACAACAAATGCAGGTCAGTGTGAATATACTGCTTTTAAACATAGATTCTGTAATATAGACTGTGCTGGTTAATGTTAATTATTGATGGTCTTACGTGACGGGTTTTCCTTTCACTGTATTTTATTTAAAACTGTTCCTTGAAGCTCAATTAAAAAGTTACTAATATTTTGGGCATTGTATTTCCAGGCCCAGCTAAATTCCAACCTTGTCCAACAGCAGCAACACCACCATCAACATCATCACCAAGAAGGTCATAACATCAGCGTGGAGGATGCTCATAGTGCTCAAAGGCTTGTCAAGGAGGAAAATCATGATAACATGGAACAGCACATTTCAGGTTTCTTTAATTTTTAAAAATCTTTTGTTTTTTGTACACAGTACATGGGGAAACAAATGGCTGAGACATGTTTTACTGGTAAGATAATTAATAATAGTTTTTATATAGTTAGTCATCTATGGAAGTGGTTTTTTAATTTCCCACCTTCAAACTAGGGGAAATTTACTGCTATAACAAGGTCAGAATTAAAAAAAAACAAAACATGAATTTTGTCTATTATTATTATTATTTGTTTTGGTTATATTTTCTATAGTACAATAAAATAATCAGGATCTTAGAATTTTAAAAATCTATAACCTTACAGAGCAATTTAAACAGAATCAAGTTTAAAATTGAAACCAGGTCCTTGTCTTGTTTCTTTTCCTGTCGACCAATACATTTACAGGTATTTATAATTTTGTCATGCATATGTGCTGATTTTCTCTATTCATTTTCAATTTTTGCATCCATAGAATATTTATCTCATCCAGGAATCAAGTCCAGTTCAGTTGCTCCCATCCAACGATCTGCGACACCGCCAGGTGACAACCAATCCAACCTGGCTGAAATAGCCAAACAGATGAGCAAGTCAAACCACGGTCACGGCAGGGAGGTTGAAACTTCGTCTGCCATGGGAAAAGAGGAACATGGTATACAATTGCCTTTTTTTATATTAAAATAACTTAAGGGTTGCTTTGAAGGAGAAATATAATATATTAAAACGTAAGAAATGAACTATGTCTACGCACACGTTGATGAAATCTTGAAAAAATTTGTTGTTTTGGAAGTTGGTTTGATAAATACATTGACGTCTCATCGTAAATTCATTTACATTATTTTAAAAAATATGACAATAATGATATATCTATTTCAATTTTAAACCTGGAATGAGTTTTTGTTTATTACCCAAAGAAATTTATTAAACTTTCTATATTCTCCTTTTTAAGAAAAAGTTGTACAGCCCCAAGCAGCACTGAATAATTCCATGAAAGTCTATGTTGATCCAGACCATGGCAATGATCTACAGGAGAGGTTCTCAACTCTGTGGAGGAAGGGGAAGTTCTTTGATGCTTCGCTGGGTGTGGCCAATAAGAAACTTCATGTATGTACTCTTTATTTTGAATTACATTCAACTCTGGAGAGCCTTTACCCGCATCAGCAAATGACGTCTGTCTTGTTGTAACTTTCTAAAACTATTTACACATCTTACTTATTCTATTTGGTCACCACTATTTCAGGAAAACTCATCTTTACTGGTTTACCTCATTTTGATAGATCTAGTTATAGGGAGTTACAAAAAAAAATATTTGAACAGTTGGGTGAATTTAAATTAATCTAAATTAAAAAAAAAACTTGGCCAAGTTTACAAGGTAAGTAACTAAATATAAATTTTTGTAATATTAGTTGTTTTAATTGTCATCTGAGTATGACATTTTATTTTTTAATGTTCTCATACTTTATTTTTGTAATGACTACTATACTCCACCACTTTCATTGTTTGTTTTTACCACAGCCATTTTTTGCTCCACTACTGTCATTGTTTGCTCTATCCTCATTGTTTGCTCGATGGTGTTTGCTCCACTACTGTCATTGTTTGCTCTATCCTCATCGTTTGCTCGATGGTGTTTGCTCCACTACTGTCATTGTTTGCTCTATCCTCATTGTTTGCTCGATGGTGTTTGCTCCTCTACTGTCATTGTTTGCTCTCTCCTCATTGTTTGCTCGATGGTGTTTGCTCCACTACTGTCATTGTTTGCTCTATCCTCATTGTTTGCTCGATGGTGTTTGCTCCACTACTGTCATTGTTTGCTCTATCCTCATTGTTTGCTCGATGGTGTTTGCTCCACTACTGTCATTGTTTGCTCTATCCTCATTGTTTGCTCAATGGTGTTTGCTCCACTACTGTCATTGTTTGCTCTATCCTCATTGTTTGCTCGATGGTGTTTGCTCCACTACTGTCATTGTTTGCTCTATCCTCATTGTTTGCTCGATGGTGTTTGCTCCACTACTGTCATTGTTTGCTCTATCCTCATTGTTTGCTCAATGGTGTTTGCTCCACTACTGTCATTGTTTGCTCTATCCTCATTGTTTGCTCGATGGTGTTTGCTCCACTACTGTCATTGTTTGCTCTATCCTCATTGTTTGCTCGATGGTGTTTGCTCCACTACTGTCATTGTTTGCTCTATCCTCATTGTTTGCTCAATGGTGTTTGCTCCACTACTGTCATTGTTTGCTCTATCCTCATTGTTTGCTCGATGGTGTTTGCTCCACTACTGTCATTGTTTGCTCTATCCTCATTGTTTGCTCGATGGTGTTTGCTCCACTACTGTCATTGTTTGCTCTATCCTCATTGTTTGCTCGATGGTGTTTGCTCCATCACTGTCATTGTTAGCACCGCCACCGACAATGTGTATGCACCCTGTCTATAGTGTCTAAATCCCCTAATTGGCTAGGCACATACAAAGAATGAGTTTTCTCCACCACTTTCATTGTTTGTGCCACTACTGACATTGTTTGCTCTATCATCATTGTTTACTCCACCACTGTCATTGTTTACTCCCCCACTGTCATTGTTTACTCCCCCACTGTCATTGTTTACTCCCCCACTGTCATTGTTTACTCCCCCACTGTCATTGTTTACTCCACCACTGTCATTGTTTACTCCACCACTGTTTTTGTTTGCACAACCTTTTGCCGACACTGTGTATGCATTGACAATCACCTAATATTTGAAACTGTATTCATCAAAGAAATGTGCCTTCGACCAGAAAATTCTGTTTTGAATGCACATTGATTTCTGTTGTCTTTTTAATGTGTAAAATTTTGTTTACTTCCACAGGTTCACAAACTTGTCTTACTGGCCATGAGTCCTTATCTCCAAGAGACTTTCAAGAATGCTGACCCCAGATCACAGCTGGAGGTCAATTTGCCGTCAGACACAACATATGAAACAGCCAAAGCTTTTCTCAAGTACATCTATGAGGGAGTTTTGGAGGTATAATTAATTCCGTATAGAAACATGAGCGCCATTATTTGTTCATAAAGGCCATGTGATTTTACCTAGCAATAAAATGACTGTACAATAAAGATACAATAGAGGCCAAAGTTTTAGTTAAGAACATATTATATAAGTATTAATTCTCAAAATAAGAGTTCTTTAAACTTATTATTAAACCGAGATTTATAGTGCAGAGCTGAGTCACATGTTGTGCAGGCACTATCTATATGCATTGTATGGTATGACAGGATAAACAAACTCACACTTTGGATTTGGTTTCATGTTTAAAATTCGAAGTTAGCTCTGTGCTGTTAATTCAGTAGCTTTTCATCTGTGGAAAGTCTTGCCACATCTCTGATTATGTTCAATTTTTAAATCAACATTGCTGTGAGAAAGATTGTAAGCTAGGGGAAATCATTAAATCAAAATACCTAAATAATTGATTCATACTTAAAAAAAACAGAGGTGAAATGTGTATTGATTTATAAAATTCAGCCAATAATTTTGCAGAAGTAATGGATGCGTCTAATTGTGTATGAAATATTTTTTTTTATCTGAAGTATGTTTATGCTATTAGTTCTTTTCACTTCCACTTTGCAAGCACACTTCCTTGTTTTGATTTAGTCTGGGTTATTTTATGCCTGTTTTGCCACAAAAAGGCTGTCCACAGGGCCATAATTCAGTGCAAATGTGTTTTAATGTCATAAATCCACTTGCAAAAAATATATTTAATTCCAGATTTAAAGATAAAAAGATAAGATTCTTTATTTATCCATATAAATGGAAGTGTTTTTCTTTCTTACTACACTGTACAAATGTTTAGTAGAAACATGCTGAAGCAATTTAATAGGTCAACTATGTTTATAATGAGAAAATGAATAGTGACTCCTTCGTTACACATCTTGATGATTATATTACTTTCACTCAGGTGGATACGTCATCTGTGAGGTCCCTGCACAAAATAGCAACCATGCTACAGATGACCAAACTGGCTCAGTACTGTCAAAACTTTGCACAGCAACTCCAAGAGGAGGCTGAGCAGGCCAATGCTGGGAGTGGGGATGGTGAAATTCCTAAGATATCTGTGAACCTGGGAGAGCTGGCTGAAATGCAGGCACAGAGACAGAGACTGATGGAGGCACAGGTATACACATTCTGTGTGATAAATATTTTTTTGGTTAACTGATGACCAGTTATAGTTAAATTAATTTAATTTTTAGATACATCTTGAAACTTAGAAGACCATTATTTCGGCACAGGGTTGAATAAATTTTTATTATTCTTGTTCTAAGGCCCTTCAAAGATTGGGGGAAAGCAATGCCATCTCATCAGCTGATCTTCACCGTAGTTCATCAGCAAGGTACCTGTCGGAAGATCGTGCACAGCTGAAATCAGATTATTTACAGTCTGAGCAAAACTCCTCTGAACAAGCTTCAGGGAATGCCCATTTCTTACATCAGGATCTCCTGGCGGCACAACATAGAGCTCTTGTTGCAGCATCATCTTCAAACCAATCGGCATCTTCATCCCTGCTACTGTCCTCATCACAAGATTTAGCCACGCAACAGCTTATACAGGCTGCTCTTGCTAGGCACCAGGCGTCATCACCGCCACCCTCTTCAGCAGGCTCATCATCCATGTATCACCAACACCAGCAACAGATAGTGTCACAGGCAGACTCCAATGCTGCTTTGCTTCATCGTTTGACCTCGCCTGAGTCTGCCGTGACGGCATCTGCGGCGACCTCACTGGACCATCACCAACAGCGTCTGGCACTTGCTGCATACTGGCAGGCCCATACACTTGAACTCATGTCACGTAACCAGCTCACGGGACTCACTTCAGACCCATCAAATTTAACCTCGGCATCAGAGCTGGCAGCTATAGCTGCAGCCGCCGGTGCCACGACATCGGAAGACACTAGACACTTGTTACAAAACTTGGGTCACGAGGTGAAGTTAAAATCTTCATCAGGGTCTTCAAGGCGCCACCATTCCAAAGAATCATGGAGTAACCAAGCTAACGAGACAGACAATAGTCACCAGGCTACGATGTTGCCAGAGACTTGTCTCCCTGCTGACATGGCCAGATCACATCACATTGGTAACTCTGAAGGAAATACATAGTTGTAGCCATGGTCTGAACAAAGAAATAAAAGAAAAAAACAACCTGGTGGCCCACGGAGCATATCATATAAAGATAAAGAAAGACTGTTATGTATATGTATTTGTTAATTTTAAAGATATAAATGGACACGCTCATTGATTGTTATATATTGTTTTTTAAATAATAGAGAAGACATAATATTTAATGGTTCATATTTTGTGATGTTAAACGATGGATGGGTCCATACATTTGTTTGTATATTTTTTAATTATATTGAAATCACATTTGACCTGTGAATGTTAATGTCTCATGGTAATCAGTTTTTTATTTTTTTTTTATTTATCCCTTCATAGAGTTTTTTCTATTCTGGTGCAACGGTGGAATTTTTTTCTAAATAATTTTTATGAATTTTTTAAAATTCATCTTAAAAAAAAAAAAAATCTGGGAACTGCCAACAAATTTTAATCCACACAAAATTAAATCCCATTATGATTAAATATTCCTTAGAACCATTGGGTTTTTTTTTTTTTTTTTTTTTTTTTTTTTTTATCTTTTTTTTGAGTTTTTTTTTTTTTGTTTAAAAGGTGAAATTTTTTTTTAAATAATTTTTATGAATTTTTTAAAATTTATCTTAAAAAAAAAAAAAAATCTGGGAACTGCCAACAAATTTTAAGCCACACAAAATTAAATCCCATTATGATTAAATAGTCCTTAGAACCATTGGGTTTTCTTTTGAACAACCGGTCTGGTCTGTACTTCATTATTAAATAAGGCAGCATTATTTTCCCCTTACCAGGAGTTTTTGTCACAGATGATTATTTTAGCCATTGTGGATTTTTACGTTTTTTTAATAGTAATTTGAGCAGGTAAAAACAATATCCCCCAATCATGTAGATCTGATTTGTTTAAAAATAAGCTAGATTTTTTTTCATTAAAAACTAGCTGTTTTTTGTTTGTTACTAATTTAATGATGTTAATATTGTTAGAAATTATACAATTGAATATTGCTAATATTACAGAAACTCAAATCTTTGCCTTGTTTCATTATATCACCTGCATTTCTGGAAACAAATTGAAATGCTTGAAATGTAGCTTCATTATGATTAATGTTGTTGTAAAGCATATTTTAAAAGAAGTTGATCATCATTAAAATATAAGATTGATTGGAAATGTAAGATATTTGGTTGGAAGTTTTAAGTAATCACATTAAAATAGAAGATTTATAGGAAATGTAAGATATTTTGTTGGAAGTTTTAAGTAATTATATAATTATATTAAAATAGAAGATTTATAGGAAATGTAAGATGTTTGGTTGGAAGTTTTAAGTAATTATATGAAAATAGAAAATTTAAGGAAATGTAAGATATTTTGTTGGAAGTTTTAAGTAATTTTATTAAAAAAGAAGATTTATAGGTAATGTAAGATATTTGGTTGGAAGTTTTAAGTAATAACATCAAAAGGTAACTAGTGTCAACTTGAAGCAACTGTTCTGTAACTGACAAGTTATTACATTCAATTCTATCTACTCATGAGTTTTGTAAATTAAACTACAAGGGTTGCAATGAAATACTGCAGAGCAAGTAGTATCTTCTTAGGTTTCAGTGACCAATTTTGAAACATATTTAACATACAAAATTGTTCTTGTTACATAAATTGAACTCACACTTTTATATTTCAATTTTTTATGTTTCAAGTTTTAACCCTGCGCACAAACCTTAACAAGTAGTGTTTTTTATAGAAAGAAACTATTTTTAAAGCTTTTAGAAATAAATTAAAAACACAAATCTTATTTTTTTCTTCAATGATCACATTAAATAAGTCTCGTTTGAAAATAAAATATCCTCACGCTGTATGAATTATTCATGCACCTGTCATGCTTTTAGTTGAAACTACAGCATTTATTTAAAACTCTAGTTGTCCTACGTAAACATTGACCTAAGTCGACAGATTTAGCTGTTCTTTTTTTATAAAAGAAGCTTGCAACCTTTTTCCAACTAAACTCCCAACCTGTTGCTTACAATTGTAACAATATAGACTAACACAAAAATCTTCAATAACACAAACTTCTTCAGATATTTTCAACTTTACACTTAATTTTAACCCTAGTTTCTATAGTTAAAAAAATAAGTTGAATATTACATTTAGAAAATGAGCAAACATGGACACATAACCTAATGTGTTAGTTTTTCCACTCCAATTTTACCAAAAACCAATAATATATATATAAAAAAAGTTGACACCAGGCTAGATCATTTACCAAATTATAGTTTACTTTAAAAATTGACTTTGTTGCTGTTAAAATGATTGCTTATTCCTATGTCTGTGTTGTGATACTTTAAGATGGGACTTGAAATAAGTCTTTGACATTACTTTGACACGATTTCAACTGATGACAAGTTTTTGGCTGGAATAATTACACATTTCAATTCTATTGATTTCTTCATGATGCTTTCTACTAGCAGATGTTGTAGGGATGGGCCTTCTGATTTTGTTTTGCATGGATACAAAAATAATTTGACCAAATTCTTTCTTTGTTCTTCCATCATGCACTTGCAAAGTAATAAGAACTAGCCTCATGCGAAACTGCTGGAAATAGTTTTATCAATCCTTAGCTTATCACTTATTTATTCACAAATAAATATTTTTTTTGCATTTAAACAAAAATAAAGATGGAGGTATTTTTTAATTTTTTATTAAATACATTATTAAAGAAAGAAAACATCTATGCGCCAATGAATGAGAAACCAGTTTTTAATAAATCCTTAATCAATAGTCTTGATAAAAAATAGGCAGCAAAAATACAAGCACTGGTTAAAAAAGAAACGACTCCGTAACTTATTTTATTGGCAATTAGTATTTGACGTTTTTTAGTCAATCATTTATCATGGCGTGGGAAGCTTCAACAAAATAGAGAACAAGTCAAGTTATAGTTACACTTTTTAAGAAGTGCTAATATCATTGCAAAATTAAATTAAAAAAAAAAAATGATGATGTTACAGCATATTCAAAAAAAGCTTGAACCCTAAATAAGACACCCCCAAAAAAAGTGATTGTATGAGCAAAGCAACTTTTCATGTATATGTACATGGATTTATGGAATGAAAGAAGATGGAGGTGTACTCTAGATATAAGGTTTTATCTTGGAAGTGTATGCAATGCCTTTTATACCTGTTTTAACAATGTAAATGTCAGAATGTGCTCAGGCATGTAGGCTTCACTGGGATAACTTTACCGTGGATAGTGGTTTGTACTACTCTGTTGTTCCACACACAAATTTTGATGAATTTCTTGAAGATCGTACTTGTGAGGTTTACATTTCTAAATCTGATTTTCTTCTAGTTGCTCTGACAGTCTACTTGATTATTAAAGTTGCACATTCTGTGGTTCAACAGCACACACACACACACAGAATTTCAAGGCTATTTATTTCACACATTAATGTGTAAACCCCCCCCCCCCTCAATCCCCCCTCCCCTTTTCCATATTTGTTTTAAATCTGATTTTCTTCTAGTTGCTCTGACAGTCTACTTGATTATTAAACTTGCACATTCTGTGGTTCAACAGCACACACATACACACAGAATTTCAAGGCTATTTATTTCACACATTAATGTGTAAACCCCCCCCCCCCTCAATCCCCCCTCCCCTTTTCCATATTTGTTAAGCTTTACCAGCAAATTTGTAATGTTAAGATCAACTAGCTATAATAAAGAAAGTTCCAGAAATGTGTATAACTGATGGCTATGAGGCTTCCACGTTAAAACCATGTTTCTACACACGAGCGGTGCTTGTTATTTTGGCCTCATCAGATAAACTTTATCCTTATGATGATCTGTTTATTTTGTCAAAATGTTGTTTCAAAGTTTGAAATTTTAGAAAAATGGTTTCAGTATATTTTCATTTGGTTAAAGTTTTCAATTGCTCTTCATTTTGTCCAGATATTTGTTTATTTAAGTGATCTGTTTGGGTAGTTAAAAAAAAATCATTGTATGTTAATGTTACTTTCTAACAAGACAATACAAGACCTTCAGTTATCTGCCCTGGTTTTAATATCAATCTTTTTTTAAATTGTAACATAAATTATTTGTTTATATTAGTCTACTTAGGGTGAAATGAAGTGAGCAGTAATCTGTTTGGTAAGATCAAGTTATAAGTTGATTACATAGATAAACCAGTGATGATAGAAATGGTAAATATTGTTTGACAGATGAAATAGATTAAATGGCTGGCATTGATTAGACCATGAAATGGTAAGTATTGATTAGCCAATGAAATGGTAAGTATTGATTAGCCAATGAAATGGTAATTTAGATTAACCAATGACAAAGTTATGTTACAGTACTTGTACCCCTTGATGACCAAAATCTTGTTGAAGAGTCCCATCAGTAGAGGGAGTTTATTCTTTATAAATAATGTCTAGATTATTTTTGGGACCCATGAATTTTGGGGGATCTTTTTTTTTCTGTGTGTGCTTTAATTTGTTGCCATCTCATCCAATATTTTGTGCCTCGTCGTGTAAAAGATTTTATCCAATAGTTCATCCTGTTGCTAGCCAGCAGCTCCATTGATGTGAGGGCAAACTCTTTAAGACCGAAGTGTTCATTTCATATTTTCCGAAGCATTTAACACTTTGGTGGGATGATAATTAAAGATGGGTAGGTTATTATAAGTTGCCTTAAAGACCTATGGTCAGGTTCAGGGTGAGTTTGTTTGCAGGCGTTCACTGGCATCTATTACGATAACTTGAAAAGAATCCACGCAGATCAGTAGAACTGCGATGTATAGGTGGAGTACCATTCTAAAGTTTTTATATTGAACTCGTCATTAACATTTTTGTTTCAACGTCTTAAAAGTCATTTTCCCTGTGTCTTGGGGAGGTAAAATTTGACACACTGCTTAACCTTCTGAGATATTTGATCTTTCCAAAAGAAATAGGATGAATTCTAAAAAAAAAATAAAAATTTAAAATAAAATAAATCAACGAAGGGAGTTAAATTTTTCTTGTTTGAAGTTATGCTTAGTCTGATGTTAGTGTATCAGGTCACCAGGATGAACTTAAAGAAAAAAACAAATTAATTTTTTGAAACTTGTCATTAGTAGATTTATTTTTATTTTCTATCAATATAGCCTGGTAGCATGGTGAACCCCTGCAATCTTTTTAAAATTTCATTTTTGGAAAATCAAGATTGTCTTCTTCTGTTTTGGCTAGCAGTATGGTCTTTGTTCTAAAATCATGTACTGTACTATTTATGTTTTTTGGAAGGAGGGCTGGGGGGGGGGGAGAGCTAATCAATATGTAAGTGTAGTACTGCAGTCTTGTTAGTGGGATCAAGAGATAGTATGTGTTCAACAAATTGAGGGAAAAGGGTTCAGACCTTTTAACAAACTGCATACAACGTCAGTGGCTGACCAGTAAAAGATGGTTTTGAT